ACATACCGCGTTGCAGGCCTGGCCACGGCAAAGGCCAGGAAGGCCAGGAAGGCCCGGAGCCGCGCCATTTCGCGGAAACCGCCTGCCATCTTGCGCTCCACTTGTGGGTTTGCCAGCGTTTGCCCTCACTCACCTGCTTTCGCTTTTCTCTTCGCAGGATTTGGTGCTTTTATGTGCTTTCGGAATCTTCGGAATCAAGAAGAGGGATCCTCTGGGCGCTTGGTCGGCTGATGCACCTTTGGTGCTCAACCCACGCCTCTTCAGCTACTTGCAGCCTGGCCCTTGGACCAAGGGCCTCGACCCATTTTGGGTGGAAACCCACAGGCTGCCCACAGGTGCCCCTGGCATGTGTTGGCATGCCCTGGCATGTTCGATAAGATCCCTCACTTTTTGGCTCCAGGCCTGGACAGTAGGGCTTTTGGCTTGGATGCCCTCAAGCTGCACTGCAAAGCAGCTGCTTGACTGCTTGACTGCTTGCTTTTGAGGCCTCAATGCCGAGCGGCGCGGTAAGGTCGGCTGGGTCCTGGGCTTCGTTCATCGCTTGGCATTCAGCCCTCCCTAGCGCTCTTGGGCCAGCACTCCGCAGCGACCGCAGTCCAGTCCTCACTCTTTTTGTGGCACATGGGTGACATAGGCATCCAACGTATGAGCTTGTTGTTGATTTGCGGCGCATCGCGCCGAAAGGAAAAAACTACTAAAGAAACAAAAACGTGCCTCACCACGCATCGAGTGATGTGGCCAGACCTCGTTGTACGGCTCGCGCTCGCTCTTCCTCTCTCTGCCTGCTCTAGCACACCGAAACCTGTACACCCGCTTACGCGCTCTCAAGTTACCCAAGTCGCCGGCCATCTGTGGACATCGCCAGTCATGGTCAGGCCTCAGCAGACTACCGGGGCGGTGGATGGGGAGTGCGCCACCGTCAGAACATCGTTCACTTGTTGTCATGCTGCCCATGTCAATGAGACGGGCCCTAGAAAAACGGCAACTCAGCGGATGTTTCCAAGTTGAGCATGCAAACGATAGCTTCCGACATGTGCTCCCTCCGCCTTATATTCGGAGAGTGAAGAAGTGGCCAGGACAAAGACAAGATGCCACAAGAGCAAGGCAGCTTTCTCTTAGCTGACTGCGAGGGCATGAGAACGGGCAAAAAAATACGAGGCATTGAGGTCCCGTGCTCTTCCGCAGGTGGCTTGCGGTAGCGGCCTCTTGACCTGACACACGCCGCTTGTATCGGCTTGTGTTCTCCAGATTCCTCTGGCGGCTGGCTATGGGTCCGGCTTCCAAAGAAGTCTTGCACGCTCGTGAGCGTCAGGAAGCCTTGCAACATGCTTAACATGTTTAGCACAGCATGGAATCAGCACGAAAAGCGTCCAAAGTCGGTTCGGTGCAATCAATTGCCTTTTTTAGGACACTGTGACCTCCGCAAACATCACCACCCCTTGACTCCGGTTTAAGGTGAAGTTGAGCCAGCGGCGGCAATGGGTTGCGTTAGTGTTGCTTTCTCTTTGGAAATATGGTAACCGGCCATCTGCATGTTTGATCACGCGACGCCCTGTCAGGATTGAAACACCGAAATGCTTTCTTTGCCGGGTCCAGAACCTATGATGCGAAAAAGTCTTTACCCGCCAGCCAGCCAAAGCCGACCATTCCCAGTCAAAACCTTCAACTAAACCCGGCCACCGATCAGATGCTCAAAGATAGACCCTCTGAGTAGTGAAATCATAGGTAAGCTACCACAGGCAACTTATACTATTCTTGCTACCACTCTCACTACACACCTGCTACACAGGAGAGGTGGTTCCTGTTCGAGAAGGCCATTTTCTCTTTTTCTGCAAGAGCCAGCAGCTTGCACCTCCACATTAAACCTCCTGAACTTTAGAGAACGTTCTTTTCCAGGCAGGTCACAAGGCTTGGTCGGCATAGCGGTGCCGGCAACGCATCTCCTGGATCTCCATTGGAACAACATACAACAACACACATACTCACAGATCAAAACTGCGGGAAGCTGCTGTTGCTGTCACAGAGGCGGTCCCCGTCAGCACACATGACACCCATCGAGAGGTGTGCTTTTACCACATCTGTCCTCAGGTCCTGAGCAGTCAAAGCTGAAGCCGACTCGCAACAACAAAACAAACGGTGCTAGTTGGGTAGCACAGCTTGGCAGTCCTCGGACTCGAACATTGTTGACCCGCTCTTTGGCACCTCCAATGGATCGAGGGCCTGTGCTCCAGTACCGCGCACCTTCCAGGGCCTGGATGTACTTCATCCCCTGTCCCGTGACTTCGACGGCTTTCTCATACAGCTTTGGCATGTTGTGTCGCGCCGCAATCTGTCAGAGGAGGACTCGAAACAACCGAGACAGAGCAATTGAACATCAATTGTCCACTTTAGCAAGTGCGTCACGTGCCTCCAGGACTTCATCAGGTGAAAGCTCGATGGCCTCACGGCAACGTGGGTCCAACAAGAAGGCCTCGCACCTGGCCGAGCAAAACGCGCACGATGTGAGGGCATCGTGCGCCAATCTTGCCAATATCCAAACAAAGGTACAAACGTGCAGGCAGCACTGTCCTCGAATATGCTCCACACCAAACTCCTGGAGCGAGTTGAAAGGCAACTCTTAAAGGCACGTATATACCAGCTTTGGAGCCATGGCTTTTCGCCTCGTTCCAGTGGAGTATGTGCAGAAAGTTGGCCGGGCTCAGGTCCCCGGTCGGACCTTTGGCAAACAGAGCCGACATCCCATGACTGCGGGGGCTGTCTGACTCTCTGCCGAGCGACCATCTGCTCCTTGCAGGAAGTTAAGAAAGGCGCGGAAGGAGTCGGCCTGCAAACTCAGGAGCTCAAGGTCTCGCAATGGGTGGATGCTTGCAAGAAAGCGCCGCAGTTGCATGCGGATGCATCTGCTCTTTGGTTTGTAGGATTTTCACCACGCATCCATCAGTCTGGTGCTGCACACGGCGACAGACTTGTGTTGTGCAAGCTGCGCGGCTTGCCAGCAGCGTCGGATATGTTGGCATCACATGCCCTCAGCGGCTCAGAATAGGAATGATTTCACTGTATTTGACTTAGATGTATGCTGCAGCTCCAACACAAAAAGAGGGCGATCACACGCTGATCACAAGGCAAGGCACTGGTCGGGCGCTCGGCGGCGCTTTACCTCTCCAGCCATCTGCCAAACGCGGCGATCGTGGCATTCTTCGTCCCCGTCCCTTCCAGCACTGGCCATAGCGGCGGTGACCGCGGCATCACGCAGCAGCGACTGGGCATCCACACGTCGCCTGGGAAGCCGATATGGGGTTGTGTTCCTTTGGACACGCACGAGAAAACTGGTGGCACGTGCGACGTTTCCTGCACCGAGGTGCGGCTTCTTGCCATCTTTTGGCTCTTGGCTCCCGCTGGGACCTTGTTTGAGACCCCTCAAAGTGTGCAGATGTGCTGAGGATTGTTGAGGGAAATTCCGGACCACTCAAGCAATTCCAGCATCTGCAAACACCCGGCCTGTGAGCTGTTCGAGAATGCGGCGCTGCTCCTCCAGCCAGGCCGCCTCGGAGTTCAGCGCCATGAGGTCTTCTCCTGCATGTGCAATGCATTTGAACAGCCCTCTTCTGTGAGTTTGCGCTTCATTCTGGCCTGCCAGTTGCGGCCCAGTTGGCTCAAGACCCTCCAGCTCCAGCACCGTGCCACAGCCCAAGTGGACACGGAAGCCCTCTGTGCTCACCTAAGTCGAGAACTCTGGAAGTTCAGGAGCCTCCCTGTTCTAGGCCAGGCACAGGTTATGAAGCTGCGGTAAGCTTAACTAGGAATTGAAAGCCATGGTGCCACCACTTCCTCATCCTCGACCTCTCTTCGGCAGGAGGCGCAATGCTCCCGGTGAGTCGTCACAAGATATGGCGAGCTCATTCAGTGAGAGAAGCGGCTGCGGACAACCACCCACGTGAGCCGAACTGCACCCAACACGGCAAAGGCAGATTATGCGAAATGGTCGTACCCGACCCAACCCTGATGGGGCACGCCCCCCGAGAAGGCAAGATCATCATAAGGGCCAAAGATACCCCTTTTTCAAAGACGGCCCCAAAACCAGTGGCAAGACAACGGCATGGCCTCACCCTCCAGCTCTATGACAGCAATCTTTGCAATCTGCGGATCCTGAAGGCATCAGTTATGGATCTTCACGCTCAGCTCCACGAAGCTCAAATTCGGGCGACCTTACCCCAAGCCTCTGCCAACTTTTCTGCCCACACGGGCGAGTGTAGAGCCAGGTAAGGCCATGGTATCTCGAAAGGCTCTCCACCTGGTCACGCTTCGCACTGTCACATTGAGCTTCCTGCATTTGTTCGGCACATTCTGGATGTCACATGATGTCACTACAATATTCTGGCCTACCACAAAGGTCAGCAGCCCGCGACGAGCTGGTCCCGGTGGCATCCAAGGCGAACAGGTTTGAAAGCTGCGCAGTATAAACTTGCATAAGCATGCTTCTGGAAGCACGACTTGCCCGGGCCTCTACCTGATGCCTCTGAAGCATTCCTTGTCTTCTGCTTGAGCACACTGGCTGAGGACTGCAACTCCTCCCTGGCAGTCTACTCTAAACCCTGTAGGCGGGCATGGCTGTTTCGCACGCTTCTTTCCCCCCCCCCCACCCCCTAAGATGCACAAGCATGCCAAAGTGCCTCGTCGATGATGATCGTGGAAGGCAGGCACATGAGATATCAGCTGGAAGGGAAGCGTCCGTGCATTGTACAGCCCGCCAGTGTTGCAGACATGCAAAATACCGCCGACAGTTCTGTTTTGAGCAGCTGCTCACTTGATGTTTGCGTCACAGTTTTGTCAGACATTCTGGTCCCGAATAATGAATCAACACTTGTATGCAATGCATGTGGACATAGAACATACTGTCATGCAAAGCGCATGCGCTAGCCACTCATGCCGTCTACAGCCATCTTGCCGAAACGTTGAGACTTCAAGACCATGGGCGGCATGATGACAGCTGTCAGCGCGTCCTTTCGAAGCGCATCTGAGCTCGTCCACTCGTCCTGCAGCTAGGACTTTCTGGTCTTTTCAAATCACGGCAAGCCGAAGGCCCCCCCTCTCCTCTGCTTTGTCAGGCAAGGCATCGGACCCTTCCACTGCGATCGGCTAAAGCTTCGGCGAAGCATTGAAAGCAAAGCGAGCGGCTCAGAGCGCTTACGCTTCCGCGTGCCTGCCATCCGAGCACGGATGGAGGCTTGGAAGCGCTCCACAGCCTCCGTTGTGACCGTGGACCTGCTCAAATCTCCCCCGACGTATCCTTCAGAACATGAGAGTGGCATGAGCCCCTTGCCGTGGTGGCTCCTCGGCCTGCCGACATTCAATTCCGACATCTTCCGACATTTTCTGACATTTTCTGACATTTGTGTTTCACGGCTCTGGCGGCCCCAGTGATCTCAGAGGCCTCAGCAGCCTCGGACCAAGATCCTGGCACTCCGAACGATGCATGCGTCGCTGCTGCAGCAAGTGCATGCAGGGCACGACTCCTCCCAGGAGCAAGAAGAGAACAACTTGCACCTGACCAAGTTGACAAAAAACAAGGACAAGCTACTCGGGTGCTGTGTCGAGTGCCGCCTTGAGCATCACATGCCTCTTTGGGCATCGCTCGCGCATGAAATACAGCAGTTCACAGCTCTGTTTGCGTTACAGAGCTGCGCATCTCGTATGTGGCTCGACTGCTGCCGCTGCTGTACCGCTTGTACCGTAGCATTGAAGGTCTCACTCATTCCTCGCTGTCAATGCGGCTCAGGTATCGGCTGAGATCAATGGTGCAGAGGCTGCAAAGCATGCAAAGAAACCGTCCATCATGTCAAACAAACGTGATTGTTTGTAGCTCTAACTTTAGCACGAACAGCACTGCGCTCTTTTCAGCTCTCGTTGAGCCATTGCTCAAGAGCTGCAGCCTTGACCTGCGTATGTAGCCGCTTCATCCCGCTTCATCGTGCAAGTCAGTGCGATGCATGGTGGCGCCCAGCGCGCAAACCCGAGAATCCCACCACGAGTCGTCCTGGCGACTTCGGTAACGGCCTCAGGGTCAGCACAGACTACATGAGTACTACATCAGACTACAGCCCGGCTCCCGAGCCACCATGTTGCCGCGCGACCACATGTCTCGACACCAAACGGACTCAATGGACAGAAACGGACAAAGCAATCTTGTGTCTTTTCCTGCGCCTTTGGCAAAGTCAGGCACGAGGCACGGCTGCAGGCTTGGGCTCAAAGCCTTCTCACGAGAGTCCAATGCCTTCGTGCCTGGGCCCTGCATCTCCCGCATCACGACCGGTGACCGGGGAGTCTAGAACACAAATTGGAGTGCAAAAAAGTTTCCTGGCGGCACTCTCTGACACATCGTCATGCAACTCCATCACCTCCATTGCAAAGATCAGCCGTCGGCCGAGTCAACAACAGCAACTACCTGACGGGGTCGGATGGATGTGGCCAGTCTGTCACATGAAAAGGGCCTTGCATGCCTGGCAGGCAGAGTCCGTCGTCACCACATTCCGCGCTCCTCTCGAGCAGCAATTGTCGGAAGATGTGCTTTGCACAGCAGCGCAATTGATGAGCTCTTACTTCGAATGCGAGGCAGTGTATGAGTCCTTCATGAAGGCCATGAATTCTGCTTGGCTTACCATTCCATCCCTGTCCTTGGCTTCAGAAGGCAGCAGACTGAAGGCGTTTGAATGATTCCAAGCATTCTCCCCAACGAATGTCATGCTCGAGGCAGAGTATGACACAATGGAATGACTGCCCTGCTGCAAGGCATCCCTGTCCGCAAGATTCAGCATCTCCTCGCGGAGAAGACTTTAAGACTAACCCACATAACTTGCAAAGCACCCTCAGGAGGCAGCAACAAAGGCACATGACGGAATACATGAGTCCTGCAGCTCCCGGTCACTTAAGTCTTCACCCAACGCCCTGGCAAAAAAACAGATGGAGCCAAAACAGACCCAGACAGTTTTGCTGGCCTGGAGACCCGCTTCAGTTTCGGAAGGGTGATGTATCCTTAGCTGGGGATGCATCGATGTTGTCGGTGTGACCGGGCACATGCGAGGTGCAGTTGGTTGCCAATGCGGCTGCGCTTCCGAAGCCTTCAGGATCAAACCTGGTGGCTGCAAATGGGTGCAAGCAGCTCAGCGTCGCAGCATGCGGGGGGGGGGGGGGGGTCCTCAAGTGGGGCCTCGGTCGGGCCTATGCTGTGCCTCATTATTAGAGTTCTGCAGAGGCACTGTTGGAAGGCTTTTTCCACCCGCGGCTTGCGCTCCATCATCTTCCTTATGCATCGACATGTCCCTGGACTGGACCACTTCACTTCACACAAGGCGGCAAGGAATGCTCAGCACCCAGCCGGATGACCATGCAACCTGACGGCCATGGACTCTCACATTCTGACCGCAACACTGCTCACATTGACTGATGCCACTGCATGCTGTGAAGATGCAGGTCAAGCAGCGAAACTTGTCAAAGTTCAGCGGCCCGCTTCCGGTCTCGTCCACCTGCAGGCAGCGGTAGCTGTCTACACCTTGTCTACGTTGTTCATCGCAAGAGCAGCCATGCAGTGTGGCCAAAACAAAAGAGACAAACGACAGCTGCCAGCTGCCTCAGCAAACATCCTACCCACTTCTTCCTTGGAATCCTTGAAGCCGAGCTCCCTCATGACAAGATGGAGCTCCTGCACCATGTGGTTGCCACATCACGAAGGACCCGATTCTTGAGTTCACGGAATGTCCTTGGAGTTGATCTCACCGCTTCCATCAGGGTCACAGAGGTCGAAGGCAGCCTTGACCTCCTGAAATACCGAGACAGGGTTGAGGGCCATTCCTGGGAAGTGGTACACACCATGATCCTCGTGTACTTGCCGGCCTTCAACATCTCCTGGCTGAGCTGATCGTCAGCCTTCGGACGCTCGAACTCAAACTACTCGTAAGAATCGGCGCACGGTGCACGTTGGACCTCGGAGAAGCTGACCTCCTGCACAGGACGAGCCGCGGCATGAAACCCGAACCCCAAGAGCCTCAGGCCTGAAAAACAGAAGGCCCTGCAGCCAGATTGAGAAACAAGGTCTAACCTGGAATCCACTACACGCAACACGCTACAAGTTTTCACTGCCTCACGCTTGCAAAGGGGTATTCATGGGCTCTTGTCGCGCAATGGCAATGATAGGCGATGATATGTCCGTCCAGTCCCTGTCCTGTACCATCTGCTTGCTCGAGAAGGACAGGGTCCGTTGCAGCCTCTGACCTCTCCAGAACGACAGCTGTCACTACTGACTACCTTGCTAGGCTAGGTTTGACACGAAAGCTCTGGAGTGCCTAATGCAAGAGCTCTGGGGAGCGACATCGTTTGAAATCCCCTGCGAAACCCTATGGAGGAGCTGGGTAGAAGCTTTTGGAAAGCCAGAGGCTTCTTCTGGAACCTGAGAACCAAGTACTCAGGCCCCAATGACCAGAATGCACAGCACTCTCTCCCAAGACCATAACAGACAGAAGCCAGAGAGTTACGGGAAGGTCTGTGCACGCGTTTTCCCTGCTGTTGTGCGCATGCCTTTGTTGCGGCTTGACCGCGCACCCGGCTACAGCGACCGCAACCACTTGTTGGAAAAAAATGCAATGTCTCTGCTTTGCGATGTCTGAGGGCAGCACCTCCAGCAACCAGCTCCTGCATCATTCATGCACATCATACGCATAACGTCGCATAGCACTCTCACCACAGTCTGGGGCCAAAGGGTTTTTGCAATTGCGGACGCGGGTTGCGGCGGATCCAAGCGTCTAGTCAGCCCACGCTCTCAAGCATTGGAGAGGTGAGTTCTTCCATGTTCTTCCGATCACATTTCGACCGGCATATCCGTCGCAGTCTACGTATAGTCTACGTCATGCAGAGACAGCCTCGGGATCTGCCTCTTCAGGGCCACTATCGCTCACTTTCCTTTGAAGGAGGACCGCTGGCCATGTGAGCATCATGTTCCCAAAGTTCGGCCCGCCAGCAGGGACCCACTTGTGTTTGTGAAGCTCGCCCAGGATCAGCTCCTCACTCGCCCAATGATGCCACAAGCAAAACAAGCAAAGACTCAACGAAATGCAAAAACTCCAGACTGCGCAGGTTGTTCGCAAGGCTAAACTGAAGCATTGGACTTTAAAAAAAGACATTCCAAGGGTCCATGGGGTAAGCATAGGGCCACCAACAGTTCTGCAGGGAGCAGCAGGCGTGCCCCGTGGTCATCTTCGTGTTCCTGAAGGTGATGTCGTAGTCTTGGTCATACTCGTCCTTGACACACTGGACGTCCGAGCCACTCATGACCTTGAGGCCGTTCATGATCCCCTCGGTCACCTCTTTCTCAACTCCTCCAAGGCACACCTTTCCCGGAAAGTTCTGGTCCTTGATGGCCACAAAGGCTGTCTCCATGGGAGTGCCGACGTACTCCCACACGAAGCTTGGCCACGAGGCACCTATCCCCCCGAAGCTGGGACAAGCTGCGATTTTCCAGCCTTGCTTGCCCATTGTCTGCGTCATGGCCAGAATGCTGTCGTTGCGTGGAAAGTAGGCAACCTTCAGGCTGAAGGCCTGGTGTCCTGTGGTAAGAGAGGTATTGCGCAGCACGTGCTCCCAGTCGCCATCATACTCATCTTTCGACAAAGTGACCTGCTCGTTGCCCTTCACACCCTTCAAGGCCTCACTCAACTGCTTGCCAACCTCGCCTACGTGGGCCGGCGAGCCTGAAAGACAAAGCTTGCCAGGGATGTTTTGGTCTTTGACTGCAGCAAGGATGAGAGGAGGTGACTCATTTGGTGGGTTAAGCAATCGCTTGAAGATGAAGCATGGCCAATCAACAACATCACCACCAAAGTTGGGTGCCGACAATAATCGCCAGCCCAGCTTGTACACCTCGTCCAAGAGAGGATATAGTACATTACCCTTTGGGAAGTAAGGCTTCGCGAAGCTGAAGGCCTGCATGCCAGAAGTAAGGGAGGTGTCTCGGAAAACCAAGTCCCACTCTTTGGAGGTGTCGTAGTCGTCGAAACTCAAGTTCGCTTGCGGGCTCAACTGCTTGAGTTTGCTTGTAAAGTCACCTTTCAGCTTCTCCTTAGAGTCTTAGAGGTTCGCAGCCCACAGGATTCTCACACACTCCACATCTCTCCACCCCCCTAGCCTGAACACACAGCACCCATAAAATCATAGAGAAGCACATCCCATTATAGATCAGGGGCAATAACTTCAGGAGGACCACTGATACAGAGTTTGCCTGGTATGTTCTGGTCCTTGACAGCCAAGAAGAGCGTCTCCTTGGCATAGATCTGTTCCACATCCTGGGACAGTGGGCTCTCTCCAAGCTGCGTTGAGATGGATAAGAAGCCACTACACGTGACAAACCTATGCATGAGCCTTCTGGCAAATGATCATCGGCCACTCCACAGACTGTTTGTCGTTGATGGGGCCGCCGTAGCTTGGCGCCGCCGACGGAAGCCATCCATGCTCCCCCAATGCATCCAAGAGCCCCACCACCTTGGCTTGACGAATCAAAACAACCACGGCAGATCATTGATTGATGGCACGTAAAACAGAGAAACTCTGTGCTAGATGCAGTTTTGAAGCGTGGCGGCCGATAGGAAAGAAGGGCTTCTTGAGTGAGAGGAACTGATAGCCACTGGTCATCTTGGTGTTATGCCATGCAATGTCCCAGAGCTTGTCATGCTCATCCGAAGCCCGCGCCACTCCGGTGTTCGTCTGCTTAAGAACTGCCTCGACTGATGCTAGCAGTTGCGGATCACTTGCTGCAGAACCACTAAGGTAGACTTTGCCGGTCATGTTCTGGTCTTTGATTCCCAAGAGCAGGACCCCCTTGCCGAGACCATTACCGCGAGTCTTCTGAATATGCGCGGCTGAAGCTGGATGGTCCACATTAACAGATCCAATGCACCCCATGATTTCACGGCGCTGGCGAACTCACTAACTTGGCGGAGCGATTCCGAAGCCCCTTGTCTTTGAGCCAAGAGGATGACACATGATGAAACGAAGCGCGCGTGACCACGGATGAACAAACGACCGCTAGCAACCCTGGGATCTCTTGGGCCCCCACTGCAGTTGCGGCCGCTAAACGGTTGGTCCTCCTGCTCGCATGGACGAATCTATGCCTAGAAGTCTTCGACGGTCCTCGAGAAGGACATGAAAGACAGCCTGCGTCCACATAGCCACTGCATGTTTGGTCTCGCAGTTGGATTCCTATGCTCTGTGCGTCTTTTCGCTTCAACGCAAAGTCCCTATGCGAACCTATGCGAATCTACATCAGCACGACTGCTCGGTCTTTCATATAGGGGCTGAGATGAGATGGGCTGAGAACCAAAAGAAGCGGCACAGGTTCGGGGGCAGTCAGTCTCAACGCCCCACAGCAAGTCAAAGACATCCTTGGCGATGAAGCTTGCAACTTCTGCAAAAGCTACGATCCCCATCGATCCCCGTCGAGGCTGGGGACGTCACGACACAGGTATTTGGAGCTCTTCTCCTTGCGCTCGCAGTGGCCACACACATCTCTGAAGATGGCAGCAGAGCTCAGCAGAGCTATGTCCAGGCACTGCAGTGTCTGAGGACAAAGCTCAACAGCTCCACGACAGCAGGCCCGACCTTTGAAAACAAGATGAAAGGCAGCAAGAAGGCTCATGGAAGCTGCGATGCATTGCGAAGCAGAACAGCAGAACATGGGCCCCGGGTCATCTCGCGAAGTCTGGGCGCTGTGCGACTGGTTGGCCACCAGTGCTACGGTTGCCAAGACCCACAACCTTGCGAATGCACGGGAAAGAGCTTCGATCCACAAAGCTACATGTGATTTTCTCATCTTGCAAGACCTTGTAAGCAATGCAGGAGAGGTGGTGGTTGAGACATGGCCCTTGCCTTAAGCGGGTGACCCGAAAAGTCACCGGTAACATTTCCGGGTCTCTCGCCGGGCATCTGGGAAAAACATGCAAACCTACCCCACAATCCGTGTAACATCTGAAAGACATGAAAGTGACAGAGAACTAAAGGATGTACGTCTAGGTCTTTGTGTGGGCAAGACACACAAGCTAAAATGTTACAAAGGCGGGGGGGGGGGGTTCTCCTGGTAACAACTCCGAAGTTTCCACGAAACTATCGGTGACTGACGCAGCGCCCCCCCTTGGAAACATTTCTTAAAGCTGTTGAGACGACAGCATGGGTGAAGATTGTGTGGCAATAGGACAGAAGTCAAGGTTGCTTCAGGCATCAAACTAAGCCCTCCGCGATAACAAGGTCAGCCAGTCGCTCTCTCCCAAGGCACGCATTTGTAAGCCTCTCCAAAAGAGTGGCTTCAACCTCAGGACTTCCAGAGCTGAGATAAAGGAAAAACAGATGCGACTCGATGAAAGGGCTGAAGCACTCAGAGGCACCGGCAGCAAGCTTCGCCTGTTCACATACCGTGGTGGCTGCAATATCAGATAGCAGCGACGTACAGCGATCGAAACAGGAAACCTGCTGACGGAAGAACAGGGCAAAGACTTTTCAAATGACGGGTACGAGTAGCTGTTCAGACCTGACCGTTCTCTGCGAGTCTCTTCACAGTTCGCCTGCTCTACACGGAGGTCATGGAGGTCAATCACGCCGGCCTCGCAGCTACCAGATACTTTGGGCACGCACAGTTAGCTCCAAACGTCTGGAGCATAGCACAAGTAGACACGGGCCTCAACACTATGCAGGTGGCATGCGACCTGGGCTTGTCCAACTTTCCCATAGGTCCGAAGGATCATCCGCCCATCTGAACAAAGTCGTTTTGCTGGGCGTCAAGCGGCAGAGTCGCAAGCCTCCCTGTACAGAGCCAGCGCCTCGTGGAGCGCACAAACGAGCGAAAGGGCATTGAGAAAGCAGAAAACAGGATTGCGCGACTGAGTCACAACTTCCTCAGCAGGCCAGACAAAATGCCAAAGATCAAGCAGCACTACGGCCTGCGAGCGTCGTGCGCCCCCGACAGTGGCTGCAACAACCGCCAAGGTGGCTCCAGTGAAGGCAAATTCATCGGGCTCCTCCTGAGCCAGAGCGCACCAAGAGCACAGAACTGAAAGCCTTCTGAGTATCTGAGACCTCGTTGCAGCATGGTACCCTTTCCCGAGGAGAGCACCAACTGCTCAAGGAGATGCACGGCAAACTCCCAAAGAGAACCAGACAGACAGGCCTGCTGGTGAGCTGCAATGACGTGGCAAAATCCCTACGTTCGGTGCATTCTGTGGTCAGCTTTCCGAGTCCTGGATCGCAACGTTCGAGGTCTGGCTTCCAGGCTCGAGGTGTCTGGAAGCCATGTCCTGCCACTTTAAAGGCTTTTTGACGCTTTGTGCCTCTAACCCGCACAGTCAAACGTGCAGAAGTGTACATGTGATACCATGTGATACCATCCTCGAAGAGAAAAAGGGCGCGATGCCACTGCTGAGCCTGGCTTGTCGCTGGGACCGGCGAGAAGTCACACGAAGCGTGTCATCTTTTTTTCATCTCCAGCCAGGCGCGCCCTCTGGCAAGCCGTCATAGCGGCGTTGCATGAGATGACCTCGTCTTGGCGGTCCATCTGCGTGCTGCAAGTTCACCGGAAGAGTCACAATAATGGACTTGCTGCTGACAATCCTGGGTGGCTGGACGTGCAGGTCAAGCTGCCGGGCCTAGGTAAGGCGAGAGCAGAAGTGGAAGCTCCATCGAGTCACTTAAGGTGCCCTCTGCCCTTTGAACACGCAAGGGCACGGCCCGCATCCCCACAAGCAGAGCCATCGCAGCTTCCCAGCTGGAACCCCGAGCCTCACTTCACACTCTGGGCACTCTGGGGACATGGGCAGGGGTCAAGGAGGGCACTTAGGAGTAAATGAAGACAGCCTGGTCCCGCACACACCCTGCGAGGATGGCAGACAATGTAATGTGATCGGCTACACCACCATCAGCTTCGAAAGCCTGACCACATGGGCATTCCGTGCAGTCAGTGCATTCAGCGCAGTCAAGTGCATCAACGTGAATTGCGCGCGTTTGGGTGTGCAGGAACCGGAAGTCAAACTCCGTAACGGAAAGTCTTGCACCTTCAGGTGCTCGAGGGCTCGAGGCCAGTGAGAAGACTCTCCCAAAGTTGAAGCAAGGGTGCCCAGGATCATGTTGTTGCTCTGCACCTGCAAACGATGGGCAAGGAAGCTTATTCAAATCTCGAACAGGCAGCTCGGGGCAACTCATATCAACTCATCTGAGTACGGGCAAGAGGTGCTGTTTGGTCGCCAGGCATGTCTGGTGCACTTTGGGGCTAGCACAGAGGAATGCTAAGAGGACGGTTTGAATACAAAGGTGTGCATAACTGGAGACATAAAAACATATGACAATCCCGTTGACGCATAGCTGCGTTGCGGCTCAATTTAAAACGATTCGACACCACTACTCACAGAGAGCATGTTCACATTCGGGATGGCGGAAAGGACAGTCCATCGTTACTGCTGCGACCAGCAGGCGAACTGTGACAGAGAGAAAGATGGGAGAAGGCGGTCAGGAAGAAGACTCTGTGCTTGAGCGCCGCTGCAATTAGCCAAAATTAGCCAAAGAGGAGCTGATGTAACAGGCGTGCTGAAATGACATTACAATCATTACAAAGTCCCACCGCTCATACAAGTTTTCGAGATCGGCCTGTCTGCTTTGCATCTCAGCGAAGAGATGCCTCGGCTACGAACCGACCTGCCCTGCTCTTGGGGCCACAGAAGATACTCAGGGTTCTTGCCGACTTTGAAGCCCGCTAGGGGCCTGGCGAAGCTAGAGTCCAGTGACGCCCAGCCCCAGATGCACCAATTGAAGCCTCAAGAAATAGACGTGACAAGGCGGCCACCTACTTGTGAGCCATGAGTCTACACGAGCTCAAGTCAGCTCAAGTCCAAGCTTGAGGCTGGGGCATTGTAGGTCACACTATTCGGGTGCAACTGTCTCGAAGGGAAGGATGCTGCGAGGTCTAGTGCACTCTGCCATTCGAGTGCCTAGGAACGCGGCCATGCACTAAGCACTGGCACCCAGCAACAAAAAATCCGGCAACAAACCAAGAGCGCAACTCGCCTTGGCAACGCAACTGATCGTCGCGTTGAGACACGCGTCCTGGGCCGCACTCGAGATCGCCAAGAGAGGGCTCCCCCGATGCTCTGTGGGGTTTGTCCAAGAAGCTGAGCGCCCGGCAGAAGGCCCAGCACGGCTGCCCCCGCTGCCCCTGCCGCCCGCGCCGCCTGCCTCCGTGGCTTCCGCATCCTCCAGAAGCTGCACTGCCAGAGTCCTAGGCAAAGACAAGAAGCACGTCAAAAGCATCCGAGGAAAGCTTTCTTGGAGCTTCGCCCTCTGAAAGTCAGACTGGGACAGCGGCCACAGATTTCCTTTTTCGCAGGCGGAAATTGCCTGAGCTTGGCTGCATCTGGAACCTGTTACAGTCCAGTTACTTAAGCTCCCGCTCCAGATGACTTCTTTTGCTTGTTGGGGTGCCGGCGGAGGAGAACATGAAAGTATTCAGCTGTTCTGGTGAGTCACGTGCCTGCTGCAAGGACCAACCACTTTCCAAGCATCCCTCCGCACAATGAGAGCGATGAATCAGAACATTGCTTTGGCAATTTGAGTTTCAGGTCAATACTCGTAGCTACGTAAGCGGACCAACTCTCAAAACTCGGGGAAGAATACAGAATCTCTCCTCCTCCATGAGCCTTAGGCTGAGATCCTGAGAAATGGATACACACTTGGCCTGGTTCCATCACTGCACTGAGCCGGTCCTGGGTCCTAGGCCCACTTGGTACCACGTGTCAAGGCCGTCATCATTGTAGTGAAGCTGACTACCTAGCATCATAGGCCACGAACACACGAACACTGGAGCATTTGACGAAGAAGAAAAGCCTCGGCTCGCAGCATTGGGCGGAGCACCGCGCAAACCCATTTGGCGGAAAAGTCGCAAGGCTCGCTGCCACTGCCGTGCCCTGAGATCTGAGGTAACACGATCCGAGATATTCCGAGATCAGAGGCTACGCTGCAAAGCCGCCCAGCTTTAAGCACAGGTTTGCAAGACCGGTCCTTTCACAGGCTGCGATGACGATGTTGAAGAGCATCACCTGAGTTGCAGCATGTGTCACGGGTATCCCTATGGTTGGGCGACGTTGAACTGAAGGATCAAATGCGTGCCCGAGCTCAAGCAACTCAAGTCTCGCACTCGACAGCTTGTCAAATGCCTTTTGTCGCTTGAGAAGCTCGTCCGAGGCCAGTTGAAGAAGCCCTATGCCAGTTCTCCATTTCCGAACCGGCAGGGTCCGTGGAAGCCACACACGTTCCGCGCTGGAAAGGTGGGCAAGTCTTGCACTGGAAACTCATTGGAACCACCAGCCCGCAACTCATCGGGATGCGCGCTTGTCTTCGCCAGTGTGCCACGCGAACTTGACTGAAGTCACCTTCGCACTGCAGACTTTGCACGACTGTACATGCAGCTGACAGAGACGGTTGACACAAAATTGGTTCGGTCGAGGGACAAGGGTCAGCGCCAGCACGGTGCTGCGGATTTGGGGGGTCACTGCTCCCAGCGGCAGCAGCAGCAAACAAAAGGCCAGCGCAGCAGCGTGAAGTGTCCAACTCCTGGACTTGAGCTCAACATAGCTCAGTGATGGTAGACTTCCAACAGATCTCCCTGACAGGGATGCAACTAAAGTGCGGTCCTTGCATCATAGAAGTCTTTCAGCAGCGTCCGCACGGTTTCCCCACTCGGATCGGAGACCGCCAATGCCTTGGCCGACCAGAGCTGATCATGGGAATGATCAAGACTCAGCAAAAGGGCAGGAGTGATCCACTTAGTGATCCACAGCACAGCAATCGGCTGACAGCACTTGGAAACGGGCCTTGGCCAACTTGGGCGGGGCCTGTTTCAGCAAGGCTTTGGCAGCCTGCCACTTCCTTTCCGTGGCGACATTGGACGGCTGCCGCCTAGCAAAGGGATGCAGAGTGTCACTGCAACACAGCCGTATGCCGTGCAAGTCGTGAGCAACCACATCAAAGCCTCAATGATGCCGAACTATCGCTACGCTCACGTCGTGAGCCGCAGATTCCTTCCAGCCTCAAAGACAGGCCCATGCAAAGTGAATCTTGCATCCACAGGCGCCTCCTGAACACTGAAGCGGGTTAGTGCTGGCATGTCTCTGAGCTCGAGGTGGCGCCCGAAACCACATCAAGGCATCCATATAACCTGAGAAATAGCTTGAACCGTTCTTGATGTTTCTTGAAACAATGCTGCTTGTCTCTTCAGAGATTACTCGCTGCTCGCCTTGCCAGTAAAGCCCACGCAGTACACGAACCGGTGGGGGCAGAATGCACCACCAAGGCGGAATGAATGGCGGCCGAATGTCTGACCTTCAAGATGCACAATCCAGACATGGCCAACGGGCAGTATCCAGCGGCTACTATAACCTGTGTCCTAGCTCGCGCCATGTCCACTCACTCTAGAGCTCAGCTGAGTGAGACGCATGACTCCTCCAATTCCGGAGACTTTCACTATGTGGTCCTCTTTGGCACCGCGCCATGGCACAAAGAGCGAACTCCACATCATGCCATCATAGTAGTACCTCACGTCAGCCCTTTGCCTTGCAAAAGAAGGCAAAGAGCTAAGTATGGCATGAGCGGCGGGAGCATTGCCGGCAAGCGGCTTTCCCCCAATATTCTTTGGAAGCACCCCACAGATGCCAGGAATATGGCAGGAAGCCATGAGAAGCTGAATGGCCGTCTCGTTATCTGGAAACTCATCTACCACCTCGCCTGAGTCAGAAACAGTTGCAAACAAAGCTGGCTACGAAGCTGCGCCCCACCGTCGACGATGTCTAGGGACCGTGCCCATGATGAACGGCGGGCGAAAAAGTGCCCGAGTGATCAAGATCCGCAGCCTGCAAGTCACATGCTACCCTGCTACCCTCAAATTCTTAGCCTCTACTATCTTCTGGGCCTTCCAGCGATGACCTTGTACGCCCCCGGAAACTGATATCTGGGATCAAGCATGTGTGGCAGATTTCCGCTCACAGGCATATGAGTGCGGTGAACATGATGTAATCGAACCTAAGCCGAGCCGCTGCCGCAATGCCTCTTCCGCACAGACTGGCATTTTCCATGGCTGCCGGCGGCAGATCTTGTACCTCTGCAGCAGGAACATCATCGCACAGGTAGAAAGCAACAAACTGGCAAAGCCTGGAACTTCTAAACACCTGCTGCTGCACATAGAAACAGCTACTGACAGGCATACTTGCCTTCACAGTCGGCAGGCATCAAAACAGCAGCTACGGGGCCCAACTGAGTCAAATCCAGAAAGCATGTTCAGATCCCAAATCTTAGCGCAGCAGATACAGGTGGAGGCAACAAGGAGCGTAGTATTCTTAGCCTAGCAGGGACGCTGATCTTATACAGGCTGATGAGGCAACGCAGCGCAGTGAGTAGATGCAACTCAACAGCCCCCGACTTCCCAGTCGGGAAATCCATATCGAATACTAGCACAGCCTCAACAATATCCCAAGCCCTCTCACCGTGGACATCACCTCCACCACCAGCAACTCAGGAGTCCTAGCCCTTGCCAAAAACACTGCCTACGTTATACACACAAAGGAGCTTCAGCTTGATTAACAGTCAGGTTTCGAGGTCGTCCCCACAGGCTCCGAGGCGCAGATGTTGTTTCACCCACGGATGGGGTATGGAGGGGTTATCGGTGATTGCTGGGCATATGGCCGTGCAAAAATGTCATCCGTGTATACGTGAGTCCTTGCTTGTAACCGCTCGCAGATTGGCATCGCGAGGCTCGAAAGTTTTCGTGCCAAAAATGCTGAAACCTGTGCTTTCTATAGTAAGCCTAGACGATCCTCAACTCTCTCCATGGTTCTAGTAGCTGTCCTCGACTAGCTGCTTGTGTAGAGGGCTGGCGACAAGTCCAGATATCCCGGGTTCCAGGTCCAATCGTTGTGGCTGTGCCAGGCGCAGATGAGATACCCGGTACTGTTACCATTTTGCCTTTCGGAAGCTGCTTGTGGAAGTTTAAGATGAATAAGGGGGCGGGGGGCCGTGGGGGAAGGATGCATGGGGTTAAGTTCACCATCAAGGCATCAAAGGGATGGGCGGCGGTGTTTATATTTACCATTGTCTTCATATATATATATATGTGTGTGTATATATGTATGTACATTTTTGATATGTTTTTGTATTTAAGTTATACAATAACTATACTCAGTTATGTATGTATATTTGTATTTATGTGTGTCTTCGCAGATGTACATGCAGACGAATATTCCATCTGTTCCCCTCGAGTCCCTGCAGCCCGGGCACTGAGCCAGAACGTGCTCGAAAACATCTGGAACCGATGTCCCAGAAGCCAGCAAGAGGGCCGTGAGCGCTCCGGCGCTCCTTGCAGCCAAATCAGGCAGGGGTTGCATGGGTTGCCTCAAGCCAAACGTCCTCACCAGGCAGGCGAGTTTCGAGCCGCTGAAGCCAAGGCCATCCGGGTAGTGGCTTGGATCAGGTGTGCTTCCGGGTGCTGGCATCAAATGTTCCTCAGAGCGAACATGGAGACCAAGCTCTTCTTCCTACAACTTGTCACCAGTGTCGCAGAACATGACAACTCGTGCAGCCAGGTACCTGCAAGAAAGCAGCGACCCCGAACCTTCACAAGGTGATGCTTACAGAGTCTGTTTGCTAAGAGCTCCTAGCGTGTCAGTGGAGTCCATGCAGATGAGAGGCTGATACACATACAGCCACCCCGCAGAGTCGAAGGAGAATGTGACCCGTTCCGCCGGCATGCCAGGCTTCACAGCATCCTGAGCCACGAAGAAGCTCGGTCAGCAGTGGATTCGGAAACCGAAAACGCGCGGATTGGGAAACTGGAAATGCTTGATTCTGGAAGCGGATTCGGAAACCGAAAGCTCGGATTCGGGAAACCTGATCAGAAAACTGGAAACCACGGATTCGGGAAACCGGAAACAGCTGATTCGGAAACTGGCGGATTCGGAACCTGTGATTGGGGAAACTGGAGTGCACGGATTCAAAAACCGCTGAATCGGGAAACTGGAACACGCGGATTCGGAAACCGCTCATGCGCAGTGGAAGTGGCTTCCCCGCGAACCCCCCCAACCGGCCTCACCCCATCGCCGCGCCATCTTGGCAGTTGCTTAAATGGCGGATCCCGGAATCGACTGTATACTTTCCTGACTGGCAAAAGTTGCCTGCCAGGGAGCAACCCAGAATCGCAACATTTCCTGAAAGCGGGCTTGACATGAACGTTATCATCACGCTCCTAACCACACCCCCGCACCACCCCCCCACCTGCACCGCCCCCCACCCCCCTGGCCTTTGCAGTTGCTTGAAGGGTGGGCATTTCAACCGGCTTTCCTGAATAGTTTCCCGAATCGCCTACTTTCCTGAATCACATGGTTTCCCGAATTGCCTGGTTTCCTGAATCGCGCGGCTTGCTGAATCGAGGAGTTTCCCAAATTGCGGGTTTCCTGAATCGCGTGGTTTCCTGAATTGCGGAGTTTCGTGAGTCTCGTGGTTTCCTGAATCGCGTGTTTTCAGCTTCATGAACCGCGTGGTTTCCTGCGCAAACAGTTTCCTGGATCGGGCAGTTTCCTGAATCGCCTGGTTTCCTGAATCCTGGTTTCCTGAAACCCGTCGATTCCTGATCTCTTGAATCCTGGTTTCCTAAATCGCGTCCAGTTTCTGAATCACCAAGAAAGAGGGCCAATAATTCTTTGTGCTCCCGCTCCCGTTGAAGTAGAACAAAGGGGTCTTTGCAGCCCAAGGTCTCGCAGCGGATGGGTCTCACGGAAGTGGAAATCCTGCTCAAAAAAGGAATCAGTAGCAGCCGGAGACCAAGACTCAGCAGAGATCACCGCTGCAGGGGCTACTTGTCAACTCGGTCCGTGTACAACACCACGCCATTCAACAGCACCTCGGTCCCGGACTGGGGGGGTGCTCCCTAGCCAAAGCAGGCGGCAACCCGAGGATTGAAAGTGGCGGCCTGCTAAAAACCACCTGTGCGTGGACGTGTAGATCTGGCAGTTGGATACGGAAACTTTGTCTCAGAAAGGGGGCACACTATACTCAAATCAGGCATGCTGCAAAGACATGCAGCATTGCCAGACCAATCGGCAAACGCCCGGTCACAGCCATAAACCTCAAGAGTGGACCCAGTCTATCGATAGATCCACAGGAAATCAAACATCAGATTCCTTACGCTCTGAGCGCTCGACAAAGTGTGAAGCACACATATGACGGACGATGCGATCTGGAGCTCCGCAATGGGTGCCTTGCCGTACGTTCACTGGCGACGGCTGAGGATACACAAGCGTGTCCGGCCTTCCGAAAGATTGGCAGCTTGCGCACGCCGAACAAAGCCATGCTGAACGACATATACCTCAGCCACGTGTCAGCACAGCAACGCACCGCCCACACAAAGTTCTGCTGTGGGATTCAAGGTCTTGCTGCACGAACGCTTGCTTGAGCATGTGTGAGAAACGAGTACCCGAATCGACTCTCAGAGAGATCTGCTCAGAGAGATCTGCGCTTTCGAGCGAGGCGCTGCAGTGTCTGAGCGATAGAGGTCACCAGCGCCGGCACCAGCGTTGGTCCCACGCAAGCATAGTGGAAGCCAAAGAACCAACCCCACCTTGGAGAGGAAAGACAGGAGCTTAAGTTGTTCATTTGCAAGATTGAAAGCCCTTTGGGTTCTGCTGAGCTCGGGCGGAGCAAATCGAACACCGAGGCGCATATTCAGAACGCGATAGTACATGTGAAAGAGAGATACATCTGAAAATTTCTTTCGGAGTATCATGAAAAACCTCGGTCATGAAAGATCTCAAGCTGGCCGAGCTGAGGTTCAGAAAGGGTCCGCTAGACGCTAGCTGTGGCAGAGGAGCGAATCCAAAAGCTCGAGCTGTCTGCAATGATACTGCAGCCAAATTAGAGGCTCTGCAACATTCTTTGGCCTTCCAGCAAAGCTTCGGCACAGCAATCTCACGCAGCTATCCAATGCTCGACTGTGAGATAACGCATGTGTCAAGGCTGTCACTGTCTGAGCTGATGGCAGAGTGTCTAAACGGAAGTCGGAACTTGTCATGTCATATAGGATTGCTGCAATCTCGTAGACGTTCATTAAAACCTGCATACAGTTGTACACCGCCATGAGCTCAAAAATCACCTCGGATGTCTGTGTCAGGAGCACGCGTGGACTTCGGGTGCTATGTGAGACTCTAAAGAAGGTAGATGGTGATGATAAAGGTGCAAGGATACTAAAGTTGCTATATGGGGATTCTAGATGTGGCATATGGGGTTTGTGATGTGGATGTATTGTGATTCTCAGGAGGGTATATGGGGTGTGCGGAGTTTGCTGGACTTCCCGAGTGAATCGAGTGATTCTCTTTAGGTTTTATGGTGATTCGTAGGCGCTGCTCGGTAGCTATACATGGTTCAAATATTGGTGTTTTTGTAGTTCTGCGCGTCGTGTACAAGATCTCTTGCGGACTGGATTTCTCCAAGCTGTACGTGGGGACTCTGAGGCTTTAATCCAGACCTTCTAAGGAGGATATTAAGACGCATGGCTACCGATGGCGACTGAGACAGTAGGCTCGTGTGTTCTTCCGGCTAGTCACAGATCGCACTGGCGACCGCCGTTCCATCCACCGCACCCCAATGAAGACGAGAAAACAGTACGCGCACGTCACTAGCACCTGGCCACATTCTCGTGATGGATCTAGCAACTGCAACTGTCTAGCAAAAGCATGCAGTGTCAACGGCTGCAAGCTCAAACGGGCGTTGAATCTGAAGAGTCCGAGGCTGGCGCTGCGCTCCCCCACCTGACAACGGCTGCACGAGACCGAATGACAGGAGTGGCCACATGAAAAGTACAAACCGTCAGGCTTTCTCTTTCATCCTGAGCCGCTGGATGTCTGCAAGCTGCCGCGTGCCCAGTTCAAAAGGGGCTGCAGGCTCCGTGTGGGTCGTCTTCCCAAGTTGCGACATCACAGAGAGCACGTAGGCCATGTACCTGACTGTCACGAACGGCTTTTCTGACGTGTTGAAAACCTCTACGTTCCTAAAAAACACAGATTGCATGGCATCTTGTAGGTGGGACGCATGGCTGCCAGCAGCACAGCCGTGGCCAGAGGTGTGCCCAGCGTCAATCCAGTGGCAGCGCTCTCGGCGATGAGGTTCACCTCCCCCCCCAGAGGTCTCTCTTTAGAGCCCCCAAAAGAACACTCTGGCACAGCAGAGACTCCCAACCTTGCCTGGGAGAGTTGCCGCCTTCTCTGGTCCTAAGCTGCACGTCATCACAATCGACAGATGCGTCGGCAAAGACAGCCTTTGCCTGGCCGAGCACGCTCCTACAATGTCCTACAAATGTTGATCATGCACGACAAGGCGCCACAAATGTCTCCTCAAACATGTGAGCAAACCTTGGCTCAGCTTCGCTCATGGCACGGAACCGAAAAATCCGGCTCGTTTGCCAAGCTGCATTTCAGGTGGTGCGACCTCGAGCGTCGGGTCGTGGAACATTGCATTTGACATCACATGACATCACATGATCCACTATCGGCAAGTGCAAAACTAGAACGGACTTGAACGGACGACCTGAGGGTGGCAATGCAGGTCAAGGAGGTCAAAGGACAGCTAGCAAAGGGCCCTTTGCTCGTTTGCTTGTGGCCCCATGCAGGGCGTTTCCAATTAGTGGGCTTGCAAGCCGCCTTTGAGACTGATATCAGCTTTGGAACACAAGGACGCCTCTAGCGCAGTAGGAATCCCCAGAACCACAAAGTGCCGTGACACTGCATGGACGAATAGCAACGCGCAGAAGTGTGCACTGTCCAAGCCTGCAGCGGTGCCGCTTCTTGCGGGATCGGCCATGACTGGTCTTCACGCTCCATGTTTGCCTGCTTCAAGTCGGTGGGAAGCTGTAATTGTTGAGATGAATCATCAAACAGCTGGACTTGCTTCTGCCAGTCAGAGTACTGTGGGCCTGGGCAAGGCCGTTATGGCACCAAGGAACCCGGTCGGCCGGCTGCAAACATCCAACAAACGAATGCAGCGAGATGCAGCTATCACTTGAGGGGAAGGTTTGATAACGACTTCTCGCGAGATTCAAGCCTTCGGCCCTAGGGCAGGACACAATATGACAGCGACGTCTTCTGTGTCTTGGACGCGAAGCTTGAAAGGATGTGCTTGTGAAGATGTTTGTATGATCTAGTCTCCATCAGCTTGGAACTGTGAGGCTTTAAAGGCTGCAGTCAAGCAAAACTGGCACAACTAAAGGAAGGTTCCTGGCACCCGGCGCCCCCACAACCAGTGAACATAGTGAACCCGTGAACCTACTCTGACAGCTGCAGCGGCCAAGGCTTCCGCATCCGGCGTGGGTCCATGCTTGGCAGCCGCCGAAAGCACACTTAGCCTGTTGGGCAAGATGTCACAAGAAAAAGGCCACAAAACACGGCGAGTGCCTTTTGAGCCCGGCTTCTTCTAAAGGGCCGGGGACTTTTCACCACCACCACGCGGTCTTGCTTGGAGTTACAGTGCCCAGCAGCCGAGCTAGAGCTTCTTTAACGGTGGTCAAGCAGGACACCATCAACCCGACAAGCCACCGCAGCAGAGTCAACTGCCAAAATAGCGGTTGCAGAACCATTCGCTTGCACATTGCTCGCCCTGCAGGTACCGCTCAGTTCCAGGCGAATGCGGCCATTGCACACTCTTCCCACAGGCAGATGCCACCGCTCCAAGGGGTGCCTCAGCAAGTCACTAAGGAACCCGGGCCGGGCTTCAAGATGTCTACCATTTTTTTGCACAACTTGTGTGTATTGTATCATTGTCAGGGCTGCTGTTGCCTGCACTCCTGCACTGCGCTCTGTGTTTCGCCCGCACAAGGCCGGGAAGCACTCTCAAAGCAATGCTCGTTAACAGGCAGAACTGCGGTCTGCAACGCTCACTAGCCTCCAATGGTGAGAAACCAGACCGGCTTTGCAGCCGTTTCTCACAAGACCACTCAAAGCTCAAGCAGCCCAGAGGGCCTGTCCAACTCACAAGTCGTCCACACCAAAGGATCCTGAACCACCTGGTCCATTCTCCTCCTCCTCTGGCAGGAGATAATCCTTCTGTAAATCCTGTGGCGAGCACACAGAGTTCAGCACTTGACCGAGAACGAACAAAAAAAACTCAGTAAAGGCAAGCGTCAGAGTCGTCACCCTCTTGTGGCGACTTTGGAGGTGGGCAAATGTTCTCTGCCCAAGCCTGCCAAAACCACAGGTGCGAACGTCGGAAAGCAGCAGAGCCCACAGCAGCAAGAAAAAATGCTGCAAGCTGTCCACGGGCCTTTCGATCGATGTCGACTGGTATTTGTCCCAGCACCTCCTTACATGGCTTCTGAAAGAGCAAGAATGGAAGAGTCACACAACACAGTCAAAAAAAATTGCAAAGCCACAAACCGGCCTTCCACTCCAAGCAGAGCTTACAGTCTGCCCTCGTGTGGCACTTGTGGCAGCAGAGCCCCTGCTTGATCTGGCACGGCTCCTTTGGAAATGGTATTTCCTGGAGCCGAGCACGAGCATGCAGTCTAACAAGCCTTCACTACGATCTGCAGCCGCGCCTGTCCAGGCAAGCACTTCAATCTGGGTGGCGGTGGCTGAGCCGGCTTTGGACCAGGACCAGCCCCTGAACCGGCCCAACAGGCACAATGAGTGGTGCAAGTGATGTCAAGTGCAGCCGCTTCCCAAAGCCTTGTGCTCCGTCGGCCGAGTCCTCGCCGATCCCTGCATCCACTCGGACATGATCGGACATATGCAGATTCATGTGGAGAGTGACGTATTGAAGGGCAGATCGCAAGGCACGGGGTCTCGCTCTCATCAACGTTTGCAGTTTCATTTGCAGGCGCCCCCCAGCCTGCAGGCTTCGGCTTCGGCATCAAACCTTCAGAAGATCCCTGCGAAAGACCTACAACATCCTACAACATCCTACAACGGGACATCGCTGACACTGAATCGTGTACAGATCGCAGGCTTGTGAATTCAGCCTTGCTCCTCTCCGGCGGACTCTTGTCCTGGCCCATGCAACTGCAAAGAGTGCAGAGTCCAGAGGGCAACTTAGTTCAACAGCAGGCGAGTCACAGTAATGAGCCATGGCCTTCTGACTCCGAGTTCTTCAACCCCGCTAAAAGTCCCGGACCTGGCAGGAAATAAACAAGAGGCTGGCTTAGGCATCAGATCGCTTGTGAGCATGGCCTTGATCCTGGTCTTTTTCTAGGTCTTGACCTGGCTCTTGTCCCTGCTCTGGAAGGTCTTGTTGCTCTTCTGGTTGCTCTTCATCTAACTTTGGCTTTGGAGGAGGTGGAGGTGGAGGCGGAGGCGGATGGCACAGCGGATTGTCATCGTCGTCCGGTGTGCAGAAAGGGCTGTCGCCTCGCCACCAAAACACAGAAGTGACGAAGCTCGAGGGCTTCCCAGACTCGCTAATCCCAAATGCAGTGCTCAGGAAATGCCACAAGGCCTGGCAAGCAAGGCGGCAGCTTCCCCGGCGGGAGCGGCGCCGGCGGGGGCAGCGGCGCCCTCATGCGCGGACCCAATCCGTCCCATTCCGGAACCTTCGGCGGATCGGTGTACTTGAAGCCGTCCCTTGCATCGTGAGCTTAAGTCCAGAATTTGCGCTGCAGCAGCTGACATCTTACGACTTTCTTGACTGCCATGTTCACAGTGCTTCTGGCAAAAGACCTCCTAGCGGATGACACGTTTAGCAATCATTCGGAACGCTCGCGAGGATTTCCTGTTTGGAGAATGACTGTGTTTCCAACAAAGACCACCCACAAAGCTAGTCTTCGCGCGCTGCATCCGAGATTCACCTTACCAGTCTCGCAGTCCACTTTCCAGTAGACCTTTTCCTCCTGTCAGACAATTGCTGCATGGGGCTGGCCCGCTCGGGCTCGGAACTGGTCAGAGCTTCCAGAAAACTGGCCCTTGGTCCTCTTCGTTGAAGGATGTGTTTCTGAGGCTTCTCTTCGGAAACGGGACAGCCTGTCTCACCAAGGACATCCAAGGACCCTCCCCTCCAGCACAATCTGTTCAACTTTTTTTGCTCGTCCGGCCTCTAGCTGAACCGGATGAAGGAAGGCAGAATACCGCCTAATAGCCTCGCGGCAAAGTCTCCAGCCCATCCGCTCTTAGAGCCAAATCCCTGACGCTCAGCAAGGCTCAGCTGAGTCACTTCGTCTGCAACATTGAAGCTTGCAGCTGCTCTGGCTCGTTGGAAAGGAACCCAAGGAGTCCAATCACTCTCAACCTGGGGCAAATCATAGGCAAACCGTATGCAAAATACACGCAAGTAGACGCAAATAAACGATATAAAAAAAAAAAAAACAAGAGTTCGAGCAAGAGCCTCGCGGACCTTTGCACACGAATGCTCGCAGGCCCATGCGCATCTGCCCAACATCTCAGACCATCTCGTGCTAGGTCGTGCTGCTGGGCTCGTGGACTGCCAACTAGAGAACATATAAAGCTCCAGCACCAACAGCCATTTTAAAATTCTGTCAATGTTGATGGGTGAGGGGTTGCACTGAGGGTTGCTACCGATCCAAGTCGGCAATCTGTGCATGCGGGTACATTTTTGTTTCAGACGATCGGCGCACCCATCCTTGATCACTCAAAACGGCCTGTGCAAGAAAATGTCATTATGCAGCAACTTCGCGATTCGAAACTGAAATCTGATCAAGCTAGGCTCACTGGGACAAGGGCTAAGGACTCTCTGAAGGACCTGCGACGCATCATCGATAGCAGCTGCACTGCCTCAGGGCACGCACGCCACAAACAGAAAGTCATGAACTGTCTCCAGGCTCCGGAAACATCCTGAGAAAAGTACCCAAGTCCATTGGGATGCTTTGTCCTGGCAGGCGAGGCCGGTGACTAGCGTGAGTCACACGTTGGGAACGTGGTGTTGGCGGCATATAGCACAATCTCTCGTCAGCGGACACATTCGAAGAGCGTGGAGAGAAATGGGCCAGGGCCGAGGCGAACTTCCTCTCAAAAATCTGATCTGTCATACGCTGCACGACACTGCTCGTCCCCAAAGCCCGACCTTGCCTTCGACAGGCGCCTTCCAGAAAAGGAGGGATCAAAGGGAATTGACAAGGCCAAGCATTCATAGAACTGAGGGAGAAGAGAGCAGCCAGAAGTGGCCAGATCAGAGCACGTTTCCCAGGCCGGACCTCTGCAAGTGGCAGAGGCCCTGCTCCCACGCTGTGGGAACCACCGCAACAGCACGCCGCATCCTCTCAAAACAAGAGAAACTTGAGGGCATTGCTTAGCTTTTGTATCGGACGCATGAAGGCGACACTGTTACATCGAACCAACTCTCTCATATGTGAGTTTGCGACAGCAAGCAAACGAATCGTATCCTGGATGAGCTTGCGTTGTGCGATTGCAACATCAAACAACAAATGTCATATGTGAACTTGCGTTGCAAAAAGAGAACATGTGCGACAACAACCGTTGTCAACATCAAACAAAATACTCAAAATACTGGTTAAGAATGGGGCCGAGGGGGGAGGGAGAGGGGAGGGGGGGACCCCCTACCTCATCGAGAAACCTGCATGCACGGCGCACAAACTCTCTTGCACATGAGCTCAGGTCATACATAGGACACATCCTAGGAAATCTCACAACGCAACATCGTCTACGCACTCATCGCTGTTTGCTATCACGCAAACGGGTTCGTCTAAATGCTGGAGATCACACGAGGCAAGCTCCTACAGGATACTCTTCACTGTATGCTGCGTGCAATGCAGTCTCATATTGACAGAGTTGGTTCGATGCATGCGTGTAGTCTTCATGTGTACGAAAGAGTTCATACATAGAAAACATTTTCTGACTTCTCACAAAGCAAGCTCGTCTGGTACACCCTTCGTTTGCTTGCTGTCATGCGAACCGGTTCTGCAATTCGGAGATCAAACAACGCAAGCTCATGCAAAAGACACGTGCACTGCAACAGCGATAGCAAAAATCGCCAGAAGTATTGGTTAACCATGGGGGACCTACGGGGGTTAAACCTCCGATATATCCGAGACTAAGGCCCTTGAGTGCTGTTTGACCCAACAACAAAGTGGTAAACAAGAACTCCCGCAAGCTCCGAAGGAGCTAGCTTTCGTGACTACAGATGTTGTGGGACTTTTTGGGCTCTTCGGGACTTTGTCCAACGACTTTTTGAGTCTTATCAAAAAGGACTTCTCCTCGAAAGAGTCTAAAATTGTGGCAAACAGGCACAGGTTGCACGAGCGTTTGGGCATGTAAGAATGCACTTCGGCACTTCAAGTTGGCCATTCTGTCAGTGCGAGCCTCGGCTGCACAGGGCACGATAAAGGCCAATGCCATCGCTGCACCCGAAGTTCACAGTTGCTACACGCCGTTACACTCCCGGGTCGGTCATGCCTGTGATATCTTGTGGTATCTTGCGGTCTTTGCCGAATGGAACTGCCCTCGTGTTGCCTTGACTTTGCGCGACTGGCTGCAGATCCAGCTGAGCAAACATGTCACAGTTGCCCGCCAAGGGGAAGTGAAGTCATTTGTTCATCGCGTCCTTCCTACAGATACCCATACCTGCCAAAGACCTTGGTAGCCCTTGGTGCTCCTCCTCACATCTTTTGGAAATGCCTGCAAGCCTTCAAGGCACTTCAAGGGCTCGCCGCCCGTTTGATGAGCAGCGCGGAAACTCTTACACAAACATGCATTCTAAAATCTCGAAATAAGGAAATCGCTGCTGGTTTCCCCACTACTCAGAAAGAGCGTTTGGATTTACACAGTTGGCCAAGTTTCGATGGCGTCAAATCACACTGCCCATCAGTCTTGCAGTTGGCTCGTTGATCAGCAACTGCACAGGTGCACAATCGTGCACACGCACCGGACTCACGAAGCCACCATGGGCTAAAGTCTGCTCTGTGCTCACAGCTCACACTGCTCACACATGAAACCTGGCGGCGGGAGGCCTGAGTCCTCGACACCTTCGACTGCTCCATGAAAAAGCGCTCATCCTTCGCCCACCACCTGAAAATGCATAGTTCCAGGCATACTTGGGGATGTGATGTTTGGAATGGAAATTGCTGGGCCATCCACGAAGACTCTCGTCGAAGTCGTTGTGTGTCCTCAAAGTTTTCCCTCACCTTCACTTCTCCATGGACCTCAGTGACAACAACTCTCGTTGGTCCTGAACACACTATGCCCAGCAGAGTGTGGAACTTCCAGCAAACAGACGAACAAAGTATACCTAAACCATCCTAAACTCCAAGATCCATGCACAAAGGCTCCGTGAATCTTCTGAGCCTGCTGCTGGGTGTTGTACGAGAACCTCTCTTTGAGTCGGTGCTTCCAAGACGCCCCAGGTTGGCTTTCCTGGCCCCCGAAACATAGCGAAAGTACTCCAACTATGAGGTTGCACGTTCTCCCACAAAACACATCACCAACATGCAACCACCTGCGACAGCCGGTGCCTATGGAGCCATAAACTTTCGCTGCAGCTGGCGTTCCTTCCATCAAAGCGGCCTGAAAAACACATGGCCCGCATCAACAACTGAGCGAACTGCCAAAACACAATGATTGCCTGGTGCTGCGCATATTCTCTTTGGAGCAAATCTTCTCTTGCTCGTTGGTCCTCTCAGACACGCCAGCTTTGACACCTACTCAGATGTAAGCAAACTCCAGCAAAAGATAAGATCCTCGTTGCCATCGGCGTCGAATTTTCGCACAGAGCCCCAACCTGGGCATAGCCTGCGAGCTCGCGATGCCAACACACACGTGTCACACACACACATGCCAGAGGTGTACATGTGAATCTCGGGAAATGTCACGAAAGCAAGCACAACTGCCGCCATCAAGCAGTCGCTTCTGGATTTTTGCTCAAGCTCTTGCAGGCCTGTATATATCCGAGCAGTACACGAACAAGCAGCAACCGATGACGCAAAGCATAGCCTCGCCAAAGACAACAGTTGAGTTTGGCGACTGAATGATAGCCGTGCTTGGGCTCACACAACATCTATGTAGATGGCAGTGGACTGCGCGTTGCTCCAGTCGTCGCCCAGAAAACTGCCAAGTCAACGTCATCCGCAAAGTAACTTGCAACTCGAGTTTAGGCTTCTCGACACTGTCAAATCCTTCGACCCTGGCCGCCGAAAGCAGAACTACCCGTCGAACATGACGTGTTACAATTGGCAAAAAGTGTCCCTTGTTTCGGCGCCAAAAAAGGGGGTCCGTTTGCAAATGCATGAACTTTCATTCCTTGTTTATGCCGTGTCCCGAATCTTCTCAACCAACAGTTTGCACGACAGAGAACATGTGAAAACAACTTCAAACACCTACTTGATAGCTAAGTCGATTCGTGTCGGATTCAGATGTGCATGACTTGTGGAACTCTTTGACACGGATGTCCAAAGTTCATGCAACTCAAAAAGCACAACGACGCATGCAACAGCGCAATCAAAGCATTTCGTGCTACTTTCTGAGCAAAACAACTGCTGCGCGGCCTGGAAAAAGGCATGTCGGCAAGAGGGTATTTTGCCTGATATTGTCGCGGCAAAGCAATCACAACATGGCAAACATGCTCCCGACAGCTTCCATCAAAATGCTGCACTGCGCACGTCTTGCACAACAGTTCAACGTCACAATTTCAGTGTATGCTGTCTGGACTCAGGCCCGGACCCAGCCAATTACTCCAAGTACGCTATCCTTGGTGAGACAAATTCATACAACCCAGGCACGCAAGGCTCTGAAAACAAACGAGTGCCATCGCCATCAACAAACGGCGAGGCTCGAAACAGACGTGCGGCCACGGGTTCCCACGCCATCACCGGGCTGCACTCGACAGATTGAATGTGAGCCAAACGAACACATTTGCATCTCTCTTCTTCTACCAACCGAGAATGCCTTCCAAATCTCACTCTCTCTCTTTCTATCTCTCCTTGTCTCTCGCTCTCTCGCTCTTTCTCTCTCTCTCTCTCTCGCTCTCTCTCTCTCTCTCTCTCTCTTTCCCATGAACTTTTCTGTCTCTCTCTCTCTCTCTGTCGTTCTCTCTCTGTCGTTCTCTCTCTGTCGCTCTCTCTCTCTCTCTCTCTTGTTCTCTTCACTTGCTCTTTCTCCTTCTCTTTCTCTGACGCCAAACTCCGACAACGTCCAGGGTTTTTCTCCCCGTTTTAGGACACTTCCTAAGACTACCAGACTAGACAGCTACGAGTATGTGCGTTTTGTAGCCGTCTATCTGCTACCTGTATTATAGGGGTCCATCGAGAATATGCAGAAACTCCTATCCCTACCCGTCTACCTTTGGGGGGATGGACCACTATCTTCATGGGTCTATCCGGAAACCAATGGGTGCCTATACATAGGCACCTCCGATAGGTCGGATAGGGTCCTATGCATGGGGGGGGGGGGCGGCTCTGACATAGACGCGGCGGCTCTGACATAGACCCTATGCGGTCCCTGTGCACGTCGGACGTCCCGAGCATCATGCGAGCATTGTGTTTGCAAACAGGGGGGGGCTGCGCCGCCCCCAAACCCCCACCTTTTTTACGCTCGAATATAGCATGCGTGTGTTCCCCCCGCGATAGACCCCCCCCATCCCTTCAGATAGGCCCCTAAGCTAAAATACCCCCATGCCCCAAAGCCAAAAAAACCGTAAACCCTAAACCCCAAAAATCCCCTAAACGCTACGCCCGAAAAACCCTACTGAAAACCCAATACACCCTAGAAACCTCCTAACCCCTAAACCCTAAACCCTGAAAAAACCGAAGCCCTAAACCCTGAAAATCCCTTAACCCTGAACCCCAAAAGCCCCTGAACCCCAAAACCTCCTAAAGAACCCCTGATCCTTAAACCCCAAAAAACATAAAACCTAAAACCCCCCAAGACGTAAAATCTAAAAACCCCAAACTCTACACCCTAGAACGCCCTAAACCCTAAACCCTAAACCCTAAAACCTAAAACCTAAAAACCTCAAACCCTAAACCCTAAACCCTACCTGGTCCTTCGTATGGCCTCCCTTTTGTGACCCCAAAAACAAAAACTGGTAAGACCAAAAAAAACAACCACATGACCCCATAAGAAACGGAAAACCAAGAAATGGAACTCTGAAGTAAGCCCCAAACCCAGACACCCTAAACCCTATAACCCTTAACCCTAACACCCTGCTGGCCGGACATCCTTTGGAGCTGGGATGTGGAAGTGCAGGGTTTGGGGTCTATAGGGTTTATAGGTTTAGGGTTGCTAGGGTTGTGAAAGTTTTTAAGCTTCTGCTTTGGAGCGCCGGCTATTCCAGCAGTGGTCGCCATGCATAGTGGTGGCAGGAGCATGGATGAAGCTCATTCTGTCGAGATAGCACATTGCATGTAGCAAAAAGCATCATGCAATCAATCTGTACATTTCAACATGGATGCCTGATCATGGCCCGTTCTTGCTGGATTTGTCTGGCTTTTGCAAGCTGTGTTTAGGGTTTTACGTGCCACTTTGGGTTATAGAGGTTTATCTGGATTTAGTGTGAGGAAAACTTCCTCAGGGTACAGGGTTTGTATGAGACCTTTCATGTCTTGTGACCCCCTCCCCAAGAAAAGAACCCATGTAAGCCCCAAAAACGAAGACTATATGCAGGACCCACAATGGTTGCAGAGTTTGGAGGGTTGAAAGGTTTATAGGGATATATGGGAGAGTTTTGTTTCGGGAAGACAGAAAGTGAGTGGTCATACTCAACCGTCTTGGTGTTTGTTGGTTGCTCTGCTCTTCTTCTGGTTTAGGGTATTAGGTATTAGGGTATTAGAAGGACTCAAGGGCTTGTGCTACGCCAGCATGCTCTCTTCGCAACCCATCCCTACCCCGCCTACTAGCCCCAGAAGCCCTATAGGTTTTCGGGGTATATAGAAGGTAGGGTGGTAGGGCTCCAGGGTTCTAGGGTTTATATAGGGTCCTCTCTAATATATAGGCTATACATATACATATATAGGGCTTAGAATGCAGAATATCCCTATAGAAACCCAAGCCCTACTAGCCAACCCCATAAGCCCTGTAAAAGCCCTTGAAAAAGCTTGAAAAGCCTGTAAAACACCCTAAAACTGAAACCCTTATATTGCTTCTGCTGCAAGGCCAGCATTCTCTAGAACCCGAGGCCCTGCATCCCGCACCTTTACAGTTTCAAGCCCTTTATGCCCTAAAACTGGAACCCTTACACTGGCCTATCTCTCTCCCCCACCCCCCCCCATCTCTATACGCAAGCCAAAACTCGAAAACTCCAACCTTGAATGCGAAACCACTGGAACCCTGACACTGGGACCCTAGAACCTTTAAAGTCCTTGATCCCAAAGGATCTTTAGGGTTTATAGGGTTTAGGGGAATCGCAATTGTCCCTTAATCCTCTCTTGCGAACCCCTAGAACCTTAACGCCCTTGCTCCCAAAGGATCTTTAGGGTTTATAGAGTTTAGGGTAGTCACAATTGTCCCTTAATCCTCTAGCAACCGCAAAGACCTCCCGAAACAAACCTTTGAGGACCCAGTAAAGCACGAGAAACCAACTGCGAAGCCACTAAAGACCTTCATGGGCTGGAAAGCGCAAGAGAGACAAAGCAGAACGCCCTCCAGCACCGGACAACCAACCATCAACTTCCCCAGAATCCCAAGAGAAGCTTCTGAAGAGCTTGCAAATCCAGAAAAAACAAAACGTACATCTTAAGACCTGCAAAACCCGAAAAACCAAAAAACAAATGAACGCCTGCAACGTCCGGAGAACAAAAAACAACAAAACCAAAACAAAAGAAGACCTGCAACACCCGGAAAACCAAAAAGCACAAAAAACCAAAAACTGAAGACCAGCAAGGGCCTAAAAACCAAAAATCTCAAAACCAAAAACCCAAAACTTCCGAAAAACCAAAAAACTGGCTTCGAAAAACCAAAACACCCCTAAACAGAAACCAACGGAAAGCAAAAAAACAGCACGCAAAAACCAAAAAACTGCGCAAGAAACGCACGGAAACAAACAGAAAAGTTTGAGACCTCCCCCCGACCAAAAAATTTGTATTTCTAGACAAAAAGGAAAACCAAGAAACCTAACAACCCCAAAAATCTGGTAAACCCACCCTGAATGTAAAAACACACCATGCGCGGGACATAAACTCGACAGATGTCATGGAGGTGCCAAGAGGGTTTAGGGTTTAGTGGGGGTTCTTCTTAAAGAAACCCTGCCTTATACCCCTACAGCTGGGAACGGATCGCAGTGTAACAGCACGAACAAGGATATGAATGAACATCTGAATGAATATACGAAGTGAGGACACGTCATAATAAAATTTATAAGGGCCCCCTTCGTTCTATTTGCATTGTAAATCGGCCCTTTCACATAATCCTTTGCGTCACTTCTTTCTTCTAGTAATTCCCGGGCACTAACTTATTTCTTTTAATATGCGCCCGTGATATAATATTAAAAGACGAAGAGAAAGAGCGAACTGATTTGTAATGGAGAGAACGAAGTGAAAGAAAGCACGAAATTAGTAAGCGATTGAACGAAACAAGGAAATACGCGGGCACACAATGAGTCTTTTAAAAAGCCCGCGGGAACAGGAATAATAATACGATGAAGAGAGTAAATGAGTTAGTTTATAAGCGAGCGAATCGAGCGCAATAAACGTAACGAATGTACGAACGAAATACACGCGCATACCAAAAGCCCTTTAACGGCGCGTGATATAATATTATTACTGTCATTCCGGCGCTCACCATATTCTTTTCATGCGCCTGTGTTATAATTTGAATAAAGCGGAGAGAACATTAAAGGGCGTATTAATAATATTATAAGGACACGCATGAATATTATTAATGAGGCCTTTAAGTGAACGAAACAAGAACTTTTTTGCCGTGCGTCAATATAATGTGTACACGTGTGAACTAAATTATAGTACAAACGCACCCGCAAAATTAGCCCTTTAATTTTATTG